TTTATTCTTTAAAATACCAAAACCATTAACATCTTCAACCCCCTCAAAAGTCTTCCTAATTCCTCTCATTCCAGACAACCCAAAACATAAAAACTCATACCCCACAAGTCATGTTCTAATATGTGACTAGTACCAGGAATGACCGAGGAAATGAATGGGAATGAACAAAATGAAACCTTAAGTAATTGCACTATACCAGTCGACATGCAGCCATTTGTTGTGTCACCAAGGGCATGAACATGGAAGCCGTGATGCCCCGGCTTTAGGCCAGAAATTTCACCAGTTACGGTGGTTGGGCCTGGAAAATAAAACAAAAGAAAAAAACTACTATTAGACAAGATAACAACCAGTAAAAAAGGTCAGGATAAACTTAATACAATTTTAGAATACCATCTGCTGCTTGGGTGAAGAAGATAGTTCCACTGACACCCTCACTGCTGCTAAGGACAGCTACAGCCTTCACCATTTTTGTATGTGATCTGGATAATAAAACTGTTAACTTGCATATATATATATATATATATATATATATGTAGTCTCACAGCCATTCAATGTTTACATACGCATAACAAAATGAAATTAACTAATCCTAACTCGATGGTGGAACTGCAAGTGAATTATGCTCATCCAAAGAAAAAATACAGAATATGTCAAAGGCTAGAACAGCACAAGGATGAATGACCAGCTAGAGTAGCAGAGTCTACATATAAATATATATATATATATATATATGTATATCCACCAAATGGGAAATGTCCATTTTCTAATAATTAAAGAACAAAAAGAGTACATAATCAACATCTCTGCCCACTAAATAGGACTCTTTCATACCAGGAAGAATTAGGCAAAATACAACACATATTGATAGCCGAACAGATAGAAACGGGATTTGGTTTCAGAGTAAGATCTGCTTTCAGTTTCAGATTTCTAAATCTATATCAGACAATAAGTTCAAAAACCAAACTCCAAATATATTTAGTCAGATTTCTAATCGCAAACCAAATCAACCATGTAAATAAAAAAGTGTATACATATCGCTATATGAGATCTGAAAATAAATTGTCCAACCCACAAACAGAGAAGCACAAAATCATCATCATCATAACAGAACACATACCCTAAAAACACAATCCATCAATTAACAGCAAAACCAACATAACAAAAAATGAAAAAATATATAGCAAAAAGATAAAATTCTCAACGCAAAAGTGCACTTTTCACACAACAGAAACAAGATCTTCGATAGAGAAATATCAAAAGATCAAAACAGAAATCAAGTCATAAAAATCAACCCATTAGAACCCAGAAAAGATAAAGGAAGAACAGAAAGGAAACAAAAAAAACAAAAATGAAAATCTCCCAATAATTCCTGCATGATTGAAAGTGAGGGGGGAGGAAGAAAGATCAAGCAGATTATACCTCAGAACACCCCGTACGAATAACAAGTAGGGGGAGAGTGTGAATGAATGTGAAGGAAAAAGGGTTTTCACTAATTTATAGAAATGTGTGATTTTTCAATTAATTTTTCTAATATTTATCTCCATCACCTACCACCAATGCGGTGGCTGGCTGGTAAAATTTAATGTTTGGTAAACTGGAAAATCTGGAAAATGGGTTTTTTAATCTTTCAAGTGAAAAGAAAAGTAAGCGAGCTTGGCCATTTGGGTGGTGTGCAAGAAACAGAATACTGTAGATGGGCTTCTTCTTCGAGGATCAGACTGTCGGAGCCCGGTGCAAATGGGTTTCTGATTGTATAAGGAAAATCGATTCATTGGAAATGTGTGTGTGTGTGTGTGTGTGTGTATATATATATATATGTATTTTTAACTATATAATAATACTAATGACTATTCTTAAGTGTGAGGAAATATTTTAATTAATTTCTGTAACGTAACTTTTTACTAAATGTAGTAATTATGGCCTCCTTTTTTGACTGAGGAAAAGAAAATATAATATATATACACATATAATTATTGATTATAGTGATAATTATATTCGTGTGAAAGGATTTAACTTACAGCATTTAGCTTATATATCAAAATATTATGTCGTCATAAAAAAAAAATATATATACTACTATTATTTGATTAATCCGAATTTCAAGAAATTATAATCACTAATACAGTGTTATAGTGTTTTATATTTTTGACTTTTTAAAAAAATTACGAATTTAAATTTTATTAAAAACGTAAAATTTGAAATCTTATAAATATAATTGATTAAAATATTAGTAGAATTGTAGTGATAAAATTGAATCTAATATAAATATAATATATTAGTATATTAGTAAAAAAAAAAAATTTAAAAATAATACATTAGATTAATTGAATAGCGAAGAAATATTTAGAGTTAAAGATTCCCAAACGTAAAACCTAAAAAAATAAGTTTGCAGATCTAGCAATCTCATAGACCATCACATTACATTGTCTTCGAATCTACTTAACTGTGATATCTGATTTTATTTTCAGTAAGTCTCAGCAGTTTGTTATAACGAGTCTAAATTCCAAATTGTCATTCTCATTCCTAGTTAACACATTAACTTGTTCTTTCATCCTATCAATCTTTTATGAAAGCACGTGTTTGAGGAAGTAAAAAATTTTACGTTTGTTCCTGCTAATTAAGAATGGTAATACTAAGTACCTATCATGATATGTACTCCTATGTATCATTAGAAGATCGTTCAAGTGAGATCGTAAGTTAATATAACTCATTTCAATAAATGATGATGTATTTGAGCGAAAGAAACATTTTTGTTACTGTTAAATATAACTAATTAAATTTCGTTAATTAGATAGGTACAATAGTTTAAAAAGGATCCGATTTAATTTTTCATAAAAAATATAAAAAAATAAATATTTTATTTTTTAATAATAAATTTTCAATAAGTGAATAAATTATTATTTATAATATTTAAATTAACTTTGTAACTCAAATTCTTTAAGACAAAATTTTAACATAAAATATCGTAAGATTATATTTTATCACATTCGGTATGATGTCAACCCATATTTCTCAAGGCCTTCGGCCATACTGATCACATCAATCGCACAAGAATTTTTGATTCAAATCTTACAGGCTGTAGATTCAAGATTCAAGAGATTAAAAGGAAAAAAAAAATGCAATAAATAAATAAATACAGCAATATCAAGGCTCTTCTCCTTTCTTGTATAATGAACAAACAGAAGAATGAACACTGTCCGAAGTGCCGGACGGTGTATCAAAAGTCAGTTTCCATATGTGATATGGGAACAGAAGCATGCTCGAGTCCTTTGCGAGATCGTTGCCAAAGCTGGGTCTCGATATTTAACTTCTTGAGTTCTAAAAGACCACGCTCAACTGCAGAGGCAGGGAAAGCACATTATGGCATGGACTAGAAACAACTCCAAGAAATCGCTTGATTTCATGTTCACATGTTCGATAAAGAAAAATTTGATGATTTATGACTCCTGTTTGGTGTGTGCGTGGGTAACTGGTGTTTTCAATCGCGAAGAAGTAGTTTATGCTATAAGTATACATTAATTTGGTATCTAAACTCGTAAATTATTTTATAAATTTTACCAGTTGCTCAGTTTTTATTATAGTAATAATAAAAAGGAATATTATGTCTATGTATATACTACACAAAATAACTTCTCTGGCTCAAACACACTGAACTAATCACAAAAAGCCATGAAAGGTACTTGGTTTTTCTGAAATCCACCACAAGACACAATAGCGTGATAAACAAGGAACAACCATATGTAATTAAGTTGGGAACGGAAGGACATGTAGTTTTCTCGTAATTTTGTTTCTTGTTTAGGAATGGTTTTCTGAATTTCTAAGAAACAAGATGATGGGAAAAAATTAAATGCAAATTCCTTAAACCTTAAGGAACGAGGTTTAAGGAAAGAGAGTAAAGCAAAGAAAGAGAGAATACCGTCAACTGCATCATGTGAACTGGAATACCGAGCACCGTGATTTATCCAGAACTGCAGACGCTCATCCGCAACGTCAGGTTCAATTGCATGGTTCTTAGCTCTTCTCCAAAATATATAAGCCAAGCCTACATAAGTATAATAAACAAGAACATAAGCAGTAACAATCAGTGAAGATGTGGTTTCAGACTAACTCAGACAACATATGTAGACTCCGAACTCCATCCATTATTTTATTCCTAAAGTTTAGTTTAGTTCAACTTCCAGTTAGTAATGAGAATACAGTGGAAATAGAATAAATTTATCGTTGTAATTCAAAATCAATTCCATATTTGATTCAAATTGGGTATGCTTGTAATTTCATACTTGACGGATAACGGTATGACAATTGTATAATTGAAGATATGAGGGAATCGGATCCAATAATGCATTATATGTGGAAATGAGGAATAAATTTTAAATACCCATAACTAAAATTTAGGAATTGAAAGAGCATAAAATAGGTTTAAACCAAATGCTATGGAAAAAAAGATAAAAGGAAATAGGATAGACAATCCACATTTAAATTTACTCAATGATATAGTCATTTCAGTTGCAACAATAATCTTGTGCTAGTTTCTAGCAGGTTCAGTATATTTTTGCATAGCCCCTTCAAATAATTCCTTACGAACTACATTCTTTTTTGGAAGCTCTCTCTGTGATAAGAGAACCAAGAAACAACATAATTGGACAGAGCCACGGATGTGTTGCCCTGGATTTCTTTGGACTGAGATGAGTTATGGAAGGCTTCGTAACTAAAGATATTTGCCTGTAGCTGGGCATCAAGGGTGACAAGGACAGGAAAAAAACTTATATTTTTATATCCTTGGCAACCATTTCGGTCATCTGGAAAGAAAAAAAAGGTTTTGAGGAGTTAAATTCTCCTTTACTAGAATTAGAGATCTATGGCTCCAGATGTTAGATTTTTTATTAAGAGTCAGATTTTTTATTAAGAGTCATCGTCCTTCTTTTTATAATTCTGGTGGCAGAACCTTCATGCCTGCTATATAATTTATGCCATCTCCTTCTTGAGAGAAGAAAAAAAAGACTTGGAGCAAAAGTTGATATAAATACCTGCTTAAAACGCACATCTTCAGACTCCTCTTCACTCAGTGCTGAAAGAAAATGATTATAGAGAACTCATTGAAGTACAGAAAACAAGTAGAGTTCTTTGAGAAAAAGGTTCGTCAAGAAAGTTACGAGCAATCAAACCAAATACAAAAAACCTAAGCATGGAAGATCTTGGAGAGAAAACTTCTTCTTCAAGAGTATATTGTCGATTCTCAAGCTTAAGAAAACCTTATTCTCAAGCTTAAGCTTATGTTATTAGATTAACATCTTTCATTCTGCAGTTCTAGGTGCAAAAGGAGAAAAGATAGAAGTAGTCAGCTACATGATAAGCTTACCAAATGCTTCAAATTGTCCCTCAGATAGCAGTTTGATATCACCTACACCCATCGTAAGGGACAAAATATAAGAGAAAAAAGGTTGAGGGTGTCAGTTAATGAGAACTGAGACAAGAATTGTGGAAGATCTCCAAATGATAATAAAAAGAAAAATAAAGGACTTGGCAGCCATATTAAAATTCAGATATTCCTAAAATCACATAGAATCAATCAAAGATACAATTGCTTTTCAACTGATATCCGGTATATAAGAGAAACAGAAGTTATCTATTGATAGCTAATTATTAAGAAACTACAAAGCCATAACTTAGCACCTGAAGTACTAGATTTTGATGAAGTCTTCTGTCGATTTTGCGCCATGGCAAGGGCAATGGCATCCTCTACCTTTGAATAAAAACTACCAATTAAAACCACTAGTTGCAAAGGGTTAAGAAAGTAGTGAAACCAATCATATGCATTGTAACTTTACATTAAGACAATGTTTATCCACCTAGAATATCCAACAATAAGTAAATAACAGGATCAGGGTAATTTGAATTTTCCAATATAAACACAAGTAGCCCAATGCATAGAACCATGGCAGAGTAACGACATCTAATAGAGTCAATGTTATGAATTTCTAAGAGAGAGAGAGAGAGAGAGAGAGAGAGAGAGACAGATAGCGGAGGGAGTGGAGAGGAAGAAACTGAATGCTAATAAGTGAAAATTGCAAAATAAAATGTACTTGAAGTAGTTAGGAGCTTTAAGTTACTTAAAACAAATAAACTTCTTTTTGAATATATAGTTACACAGGATAAAATGCTGATTTTAAAAAAATCAGTTGTTTTTTAAATATATATTCATTACAAAATATTTTATGACTTACATTATTTTATTTATATATTGTTAATTTAGGAAGATATCAAGAGAGTAGTTAACTAATTTTGTTAAATTCAAAAATTAGAATCTAAAAAGTTAAGAACAGAATGCTTAACTTTTTTCTTCTCAAATTAGTTTTAATAACCTAATAAATATCTTGTTTCTTTGTTACCAAACGCTGAGATTGGAACATGATACTTAAAGCTACTTATAAATACTAAAAATAAGCAGTCCCAAGCACTTTCTAAATGAAATGGTACAAGAATTGATAGAGAAAAGAATAGGACTAGACTCTATTATATGATACAGATTGCTTAGTGTAGACGTTCATATGAAGCAAAAAGACATGGCTATAAAGACACAAGGCTTCAAAATGGTAAAAAGACATAGTTGAGAATAAATATAGGATTCACATAAATACTTGTCTGCAGTAAACGAGGTTATGACAAAAACCTTTAATGAAGCTAGTTCCCGCAGACCTTTGTCAACTAAAAGCATGCTTTCAACATTTCCCTCTCCAGACATTTCACGCAAGTCTCTTAGAGCTTTTGTTCTTTCCTCAGCATCATCACTTTCTGCTCAACAATGATAACGTGGGGAGTGATTATAAGTAAAACTTAGATGTTTTGCTCCCACCCAAGGATCTTTCAATGGGTATGCAATATGCAAAAACTGAAGTAAAAAACTCTTTGCTTTTTGTCCAGTCAACATGCTCCAAATCAGTGAGCAGGCTACCATAGTCGCATGCATCAAGGTGACCTTTTACCTGGTAAGTTCTCCTCTTTAGCACTTTGTCCAGCGGATAATACAACTTCAAGAGGAAGAGGAGCAAATGATAACCAGTACTCACACTTTGCTCCAGCAATCTCTGATTGAATACCTGGAAAAATTCCATCATGCTTGAAACATCTAATAAAATTTTAGGGGAGGCTGTATTTAATGCAGAACAAATGAGGTCTAGTCCTAATCCTGCGAATAAATGAGAATTATAAGGGAGAAATATATAAATAGAGAAAGACTAAAGGAAGTAAGGGATTAAAGTGAAGAACTATAAGGTAGAAATAAATAGAAATGGAAGATTAAAGGGAATAAGAAGCATGGAAAAGAAAATTTAGTAGATAATCAGGGCTAAACCCTGGCAAATGTTCCTCCATTCAACATTGTCTACTATAATCTATGTTATTGACCTCTATATAAGTACTAATTACAATCATGATGGCAACTAATATGGAAAATATCAAAATAATAACGATGAAAGCAATAATTTCTAAATCCTCCTAAAACTCAGACCAAACCCAAATAATGTAAATAAACGAAAGATACTAAATAATAATAATAATTACAAAAAGTCTGCTTCTATTCTCTATCCCTACTACATTTGTCTATGTGGATTCTTCTTCTTCCTGTATCATTTTCAATGGTAAAAAAAGTTCTACATATGATACCTAGGAACACAAAAAGGAAAATCATGAAAAGTTTTGGAAAAGATTATTAGCAGCATTACCATGTTGAACACATAGACCCCAATACCGAGCAAGCCAACATCTCTTCATAACAACCTCTTCCTAACATAAAACAGCAGATGACATCACTATGTACAAAAAAGTAACAAAATGCAACTGAAACTTATGTGTTTAGAATTCAGAATGAACCATCTCTTCCTCAGTGAGTATCATTCTTTGAGTCATGATCCGAAGAGATTTAAGTTCAGATTCAGCTTCTTGGAGCAGCTCCAAAGCAGATGTTGCTTCGTCCCTAGCAGTCTAAATAATATTTTGAGAAGCTTTTGTTATAGAGAATAGGACTTTGTAACAACTCTTCAAAAGATAATAAAATAATTAAAAGGAAAGGGCAAAACGTACAAGGTAGAAGTTCTGGATACCTCAGCTTCTGTTTGAAGGGAAACAATATCTTCATCTCTATTCCCGTGAGTTTGTGCTGCAACTCTCAGAGCAGCCTACAAGAAAAGATGTCATAAAGTCCCCAAATTCTTAAATTATTTCATGACACAAGACAGAATTTCTATTGATTACATATCAGCATGTCAAGAAGCTTGTATGGTATCGGCCTAAATGGCACCTTATATGTACTTGAAATCATCAATTCAATATATTAATGCAACTTATACAAGCATCGAAAATGATGAACTAAATTTGGAAGTACCTAGTACACGAAGCAAATCAAGAAAACAGTAGTAGACTAGTTCTTGTGAGTTATTGGAAGTTGAGACAAAAACTGAAGGTGCTCCTGAATTTTTCCCAACGTAAAAATATTGGATTGGCGGGAGGATAGTAAATTTCTTCTGAGATAAAATTTGGTAAAAATTTGATGAAAAAGCTATTGACAATTCATAAATGTACACTTGAGTTGTGACTGGTCAAAGATACTCTGAGAACTTTTAGTAAAAGCACTTTTAATATCAAATATATATGACATTTGGTAAAACCCACTGTGAAAACTGTTACTAATGTAAAATATGTCATTATGTTTGATGAATTATGATGTAAAATAAGTAATAGCTATATGTTTTTCTTAATATTTCTCTCATATTTTGAATTATTTTTTAATATAATTTAAGTTTTATATGAATTTAACATAAAAGTTAATTTTGAATTCTTCATTATTTTTTTTTAAATTATTTATGCTAAACTATTCTTTAAAAGATACACTTAGATAGAGAGAAAGTGGGGTAGAGAGAGATAGAGGAATAATATTTTATTCTTTTTCATTTGGATGAATGTTGTAGTGTCATCAAATTGGAAGAAGTATGAAAACACATGGTAACAAGTAAACAATGTCATATCAGGAGAATGCAGATGTTCTACCACACATGAAAACTGCACCTTGAATGAACAAGGATATGACATAAACGTAGAGGACTATTTCAGACATATCCAAGTCTTGATTCACAAATAGAATAGGGAAAATCTATATATAGAATCATGCAAGAGATGATACTAGAAACATGGTTTTTGGTAAATGATATGATTAATATGTACATGTGACATGGTTTAACATGGAAAGAGTAGCACTATTGTGTACGAACCTCTCTTTGCTGCAATGCTGCCTCCTTCCTGAAGCGAGAAATATACTCAAGAAATGAGTACATAAGAGGAGCATGGTTAGATAAACAGATAAGCACATTAAAGCTTACCTGCTTAATAAACGGGCATCTAAAGTTACACCTTCACCAAGAGTTGCAACCTAGAAAATTTTGAATTTATTAATCTAAAAAATGATAAAAGCATCCAAATAGATGTACCAGAAAACAGTGTTAAGAGATATGATCACAAAGACAAGGAAATGGAAAAAATACGATAAAGAATTACTAGGAAAATGGATGTTTTAGAGAGTGCAGTTATTATGACAGAATTTACAGTGAGTGTTATAAATTATTAAATGCATGATCTACATTATTGTGTAGAGGCATATATCTAGGGCTTATATATTAGATTATAAAAATCTACCTGTTTCTCAAGCTGCCGAGCTCTTGCATCTGCTTCCTCACACCTCTCCTCTGCAAGTCGAAGCTGGGGAAGCACAAATCATTATGGAGTGCCAAAAAAGATATGCAATAGCACTACAGATTTACTCTATTTATCACTACGCTCAACCCGTGAATATGAGTAAATAATGCTGCCACAGCAATTTCCAAATGACAGTGCTCACTCGAATGATAATCTGTTCGTTTGGAGATAACAGTGGCAGGCAGCAATTTTTAAATATTATTGGCCCTTCAAATCTATAGAGTAACATATTCCGCAACCAAATAACAAGACTCTTAAACATGAAACACTTTACCAACAAAAGCAGACTCGAACAATGATATAGCAGCAAAAAAAGAAAATATGAATGAAATTTATTGGCATCACCTTTTCAAGCAAACTTTCATTTTCTTCTTGTAGCATATCAAGCTGCCATGAAAGTACACCTCATTTAGCAGAACAAGAAAAAAGTACCATAAGAACTTCTTTATGGTCCTCAGTAAAGTTTAAAGTCAGAAGATTACAACCTCAACGGACAAAAAAGCAAAATGTTATGCACGCAATTACCAAATATTCCAAGTAAGGAGATATAAATAATGGGCCTACAACTCAAAGCCTGTTTTGTCATCTCAGAAATGGCCATACCTCATCTTGCAGAGCAGATGGACGCTGCGTGCTAATTTCTTTTAAGTTGCTCATACTCATTTCTAGGGTCGACCTGCTTATTGAAGGAAACTACAAAGAATTAGTTTCTTATGATACACCGGAATGAAATTGGTGGTTTAGAGTCACAAAATGACCTTTTATCTTTGCGACTCTCAGCCAGCACCTCTAATGAAATTACAGAAGAGGACGCTTTAGTGATATAGTACTGTTGCACGCACCATGGAGACTGTCTTGATCGGGCGGCTTGCTGTTATGGAACGAGCAGAAGGGAGTTGATCCATGGAATTAATGACTGAGATGATCGACTTGTCCTGATGATA